ACTTTTGCACTTTTAATGATCGTCAGCTTTGTCCTGATCCTGGGGTCTTGACCACTTCTCTTACACATCTCATCTCTGTGACTCTCTCTGGACACAGTCCTTCTGCCTGGGTTGTCTTTCCCATCCATGTCCATACATAAATAGTAGGAAGGAATGAGTCAAACTTAAAACTTACTGGTTCAGACAGCTGAGGACTGGACTTTTCAGGTCTAGCTCTGGACTCTGGTCACCACTTCTCACTAATCACTAAGTGCTTTAACTTCTATCTTATATATTTCCTAAACATAAAAGAGAAAGGAAAGACTTGATCAAAAGAAGATCCACAGAGTACTCTGTAAAATTCAGGGACCGCTACATGCAACACTAATTTTTCTCTCTTCTTCAAGAATCTGGTTTATAATGAGAGTTTATTCTTGATATATAATTCCATCTCACTAGACATCAATTACTGTTAGCTGACCAACATCACAATGCCTCTTGCCTTTGCACCCGCTCAAAGATTAAGGTCTTTCTGGTAGGTCTGCAAAGATGTGCTCCCGCCAGGACAAAGACCAGTGCCACCGGCAAGAAGGATCCTCATGCCACAGCAGTGAAGGGTGTCATGGGAGCAGTGGTGGACCCGGATGCCACAGGAGCAGTGGTGGATCCGGATGCCACGGAAGCAGCCATGGATCTGGTTGCCACAGGAGCAGCGGTGGATCTGGTTGCCATGGGAGCAGAGGATCCAGTTGCCACGGGAGTGGTGGTGGATCTGGATGCCATGGGAGCAGTGGGGGATCCAGTTGCCATGGGAGCAGAGGATCCAGTTGCCATGGGAGCAGTGGTGGATCTGGATGCCACGGGAGCAGCGGAGGATCCTGCCATGGAAAGCCACAGGATTGCCAGCAGCAAATTTATCAAGTCTCCTCAAAGATGAAGTGAGCAGGACATTATCTGTGTGTCATCCACATGTATGTCCTTGATGTTGTGCTGAGTTCAGAAAGCTTTGCATGTCTCCTAGCAATCTTCAAAGAAAATGTCTCCTCTCCCTCCCCTGGGGAGTCCTGTACCTCCGATGAGCTTAGCTGTGGGTGCTAAAATTAAACTGTGTACATTCACACTGGCGCGGTTTTCTCTGTATCATCAATTCAGAGTTCATGATTTTCGTGCTCGTGATTTTTCTTTCACCTTGTATTTCATACCGCAACACAAGACACCTTGTGCTTCTTCAACAGCCCTGCAGTTACCCTGCCCAGACTCAGGCAACAGGGATTGGGCACTGCCACACTCTCCCCTGTGGACTCCAAAGGAAAAGAGAGAGAATAAAGAATTTTAAATGCTGACATTTTAGGAGGCCATCTCAGGCCTCTGCAGTGTAGGCAGCTCTCCTCCATACCACCTTCCTACAGAACTGGAGACCCAAATCCCCCACCAAGATCCCATGGGCTGCATTGCACAAGCCCTCGGGGCTGGCTATGGGCACAACCATGGGGCAGAAAAAGTCCTATAAGCAAAGGCATCCTGGGATGGGACAGAACCCCTTTTTTTTTCCATTTGGCCCCAAAGCATCACCCCTGGGGCAGGTATCTCCACATCCTTGCAGAAACCCCTCAACAAGCCTTTCTAGAAACCCTCTCCTCAGCATTTCAAGAGTCCTGGGTCAAGCCAGGGGCGTTGCAAGATGCCAAGCGTTACACAATGAACTGATAAATTTCTTCTCAGCTTGTAATTAAATGGCTTGTGTAATTTATTGGTTTGGTATTGCCATTCATGAAATGGATGTCGCCCTGATAAGATTATTCTCAAGTGTGTCACGATGATCAGAAATATCTGGCATTGCTGAAAAGGGTGCAAGCAGCAGATGCCTCCCTGAACAGGCTTTGGGTGTAGGAATGGTTTGAAAAGCCTGGTTGTGTGACTCCGGCATTTGCCTTAAGCCCCATCACAAACCCCATTTTCAACACGTTTTAAGGTGGCCAACCACAAAATCTAGAGGTGCCCAGGACTGCTGGCTGGGTGCTGCTGATCTTCAACAAACTCAGAACAATTCTAACATGAGGAACTCCCACCTGGAGCTCTGCCTCCAGCTCAAGGGACCCCAACGTAAGAAGGACATGGACCTCCAGAGGAGGCCCCGGAGATGCTGGGAGGGCTGGAGCCCCTCTGCTGGGAGGGGGGGCTGAGAGAGTTGGGGGGGTTCAGCCTGGAGAAGAGAAGGCTCTGGGGAGACCTTGGAGCCCCTTCCAGTCCCTCAAGGGGCTCCAGGAAAGCTGGGGGGGGACTCTGGATGAGGGAGGGGAGTGATGGGATGAGGGGGAAGGTTTTTAAGCTGAAAGAGGGGAGATTGAGCTGAGATGTGGGGCAGAACTTCTTTGGTGTGAGGGTGGTGAGAGCCTGGCCCAGGTTGCCCAGAGAAGCTGTGGCTGCCCCATCCCTAGAGGGGTTCAAGGCCAAGGTTGAAGCAACCTGGGGGTTGTTCTAGATGATCTTTACGGTCCCTTCCAATTCTAACCATTCTGTGTTTCTGTGAATGCAGCACAATGTTGAGAGGCAAAAAGTACTTCGAGTCTTTTTTCACGGATAGTATTTACCATATTTCTTCTGATGGCAGAACAAAACACAATTAAACAAAAGTGATCAAACCTGGGTACAGTTTGCCCTGACACTGTTCTCGTTCATTATAGCAATTAAGCAATACAAAAGAAGCATTTAGGTTGCATACCTGATTCATTAACCCTGCCCTGTCTGCCCGCCTTTCCAAAAATCCTCCATGTTTCAGCAACAGCAAACGTGTCAGATGTTTTTCGGGTTGTGGGAACCACTCAATACTTGTGGTGCCTTAATGAAGGCACCTGCATTCAAAGCAGGAGCTCATAAGAGACTGGAGAGACCCCTCGGTGCCTGGCAGCTTGTTCAGTTTTCCAGCTGCTTCCCAGAGGATGCTTCTCCAACAGCCTTAGCAAAGGCGGGATGGAGTTAAGGCTCCATCTCACCGTGGTCAGCATTTGGGAATAGCATAAAAACTTCATCAGCATGGAGAAAGCCAAACAAAAGGCAGGAAAGACAGGTCAAGAATACCAAATGCTCCAGCATCTCTGCAGGCAGGTGAAATTTTTTTCAGGTAGTGTTTTCCAAGCATTTTTCATAGAATCATAGAATGGTTTGTGTTGAAAGGGACCTTAAAGATCATCCAGTTCCAACCCCCTGCCCTGGGCAGGGACACCTCCCACTAGACCAGGCAGCTCAAAGCCCCATCCAACCTGGCCTTGAACTCCTCCAGGGATGGGGAAGGGTTTTGTCAGTGTTTTGCACTGAGAAAATCACAGCAGTCCCCTATTTCAGCTCACAACACCTATTTTAGTCTTTTATTTGCTGCCTGTTTAATAACTGAAAGGGCTTCCATGAGTAGTGGCAGAAAAGGGCAAAACAAGGTCCATGGTCCTAAGCACTTCCCAACTGATGTCACAGAGGTACAGAAAAGGTACAGGGAATAACTCAAATTATTCTTCACAATTAGCTCTCACTGCAAACATGGCACCTGGCCTGGCCTCAAGGTTTGTGTGGGTTTGTGCATCCAAATAACACTTGGATTTGTTGGCCAATTACGAGCTAATTGGGGAGCAGGGCAAAGTGCTCCAAAAAATGATGTTCCTACGAGTCTGGAGAAAGTCCCTGGGGTCTGCCAGCTCCCTGCAATGCGGCAGCCACCCCAGGCCACCCTGCGTCACCCAAGGTAGCACCCACGGGAGCCCTTCTCCTCCGTGTGACAGCACCGGAGCCACTCACAGCCTGGAAAAAAACCACCGGCGTTTCGGCTCCGGCATTACTCACCGACTGAAAGTTAACCACGTAATTACGTACCTCGTTAATCCTGGATCACTACCTAGGGCAGGTCTTGCCCCTTCCAAAAATAAAAATCCCAACTGCTTTTGGTGGAGAATTCTGGCAACAGCAAGAAACTTTTGACCGACAAAAAGAGTTCCACAGGGGCTGTCTTCTCTCTCTCTTCACCATTCCACCACCTGGTTTAAAGCAAAACCAGCCAATGGTGGTACCAGCTAAATTGCTGCTCGGGAAGAGTTGTTCTACCATTCCAAAGACATTATTGGTACTTATAGGCTCATCTCTGGGTTTATGGGCATTTGCAGGACTAAGGCACCCCAAGACATTTTAAAAGGATGGTGTGATTTACATATATGACTTAAATCCCCCCACTAAACCCAAAGGATGTGATCAACACCAAAACCAAACCGGCAAAGCTGTGGAAACCGGGGCCACCCACACGACTCCCCCACTGGAGCTATGGGCAGGCAGAGCTGGCAATTAAATATTTCTGCGGCACAGGAAAGACGACCGATAACGAGAGGCGAGACCCGGCGCGGATGGAGTGAGTCACACGGGCAACCTGAAGAGTGGGGAGGCAAAAAAAAAAAAAAAAAAAACCCAAAACCAAAAGCCATCGACGAATTAAAATGAACAAACCTCTGTGACAGGGAGGTGCTTCACTTCCAGTTGGGGTGCGCTGGGAGCGTATAAAAGCGGTCCCGTTCCAGAAAGCTTCATTCCCTCCTTGCACCTTCGCTTCACGAGCATCTCAGGTAAGACCGGGGATGCTGCGGGGCTTTGGAAGCCTCCAGATGGGTTGGGAACAGGCTGAGCCCCATGGCTTGTACTGGGTTGGGGCTTGTGAGCAGGGAGGTGGGGTGAGGAGGGAGCACCAGAGATGCTGAAGGAGAGAAGGGAGGTTTGGACTTGTCTCTGGGGTGTTCTGCTCCCTTCAGGAGTGAGATGACTCCAAAAAGCCAGGCATGGTCAGCTCTGGATGCTCCCAGCATCTTTATGGCTTTGGTGGGACAATCCCAGGGGTGGTATAAGAAGCTGGTGTAAGGTTTAAGGACGATTGTGGGATCTGACTAAGACTGGATAAATGTTCATCCAGATTCCTCTTCCCTGGAAGAGCAGAAAGAAAGGAAAGGCCCTGACAGCTCTTCTTTCCCCACAGGTCACCCCAAAACACAACGATGTGCTCACGCCAGGACAAGGATCAGTGCCACAGCCAGGAACGCTACACCCGCCACACCAGCGGTGGCTGCCACGGGAGTGGTGGTGGCTGTCACAGCTCTGGTGGCAGCGGTGGCTGTCACAGCTCCGGTGGCGGCGGCTGCCATAGCTCCGGTGGTGGCGGCGGTGGCTGCCACAGCTCCGGCGGCAGCGGTGGTGGCTGTCACAGCTCCAGTGGTGGTGGATGCCACAGCTCCGGTGGTGGTGGATGCCACAGCTCCGGCGGTGGTGGCTGCCACGGGAAGCCCCAGGTCCACTGCCAGCAGCAGCAGCAGCAGCAGGTCCACCAGCTGCCCTCGCAGAAGATGAAGTGATGGGGTGTCTCCAGCAGCAAAGGCCACGCACGGACCAGCTCCCTCTGGGCTCCCCAAAGCTTTGCAAGCCCCGGGGCTGCCCGGACGTGCACCTTCTCCTCAGCCCCCCAAGAAGCAACACTCCCTGGGGAAGGGGCATCACGTGTGCCTCCCTGCTGCCTCCGCCTGATGCTCCAGGCTGTGCTTTGGCCCCATGAGGTGCCCATGAGACAATAAAGCATGAACTTCCCCAAACCTCTCTTGTGTTGGCCTTTCCTTAAACTCCTCATCCTCATTTTCCATGCACGCTATAGGCAGGGGACAACTGGGTGTAGAGGAATATAGGGTCTATACAACAGGTCATATATCTTAACCAGGGGAATCCACCCCTGAAAGCACCAAGCCCTTCAGCCGGTGTGCACAAGGAGATCATTTAACGTTGCCTTTTAGGGAGAATGATTTTGCTGCCTAAAACAGTGCAATTAAGCTCAGCAAAGTCTTTAATTCTTGCATTTTCCTAAGCTTGTTGTGCCTGTGCCGATGGCAGATGAACCCAGCAGGTATCTGGCCCCATGAGCTGGGCGAAGGGATGCCAAGAGTCAAGGGAAGAAGAGCCAAATCCATCTCCCTTCACAGCCAGGACCTGGCAGAGGTGCTGCTGGAAAAGCAACTGGTGCCGGGGGGTTGAAACTGGGAGCAGCCTGGCCCAGATGTGTTACAGCTGAGGCTGAGAGAGGGAAACTGGGGAGTTCAACCACCCCCTGCTGCTAACCCCTCTCATCCCAAGAAAACCCTACAAGTGATTACTAGCCGTATTTTTTGATCTTCCTTTCTTTTGCCCCCTAGGTTTTTGACTGTTTAAAGATATTTATTTTTTTCCTGTAACCACAATAAAAAAAAAAGGACAGAGGCTTCTCTGCTTCTGTTTTGATGTGGTTTCTGCTCTGAACTGAAAGCTGAACTAACATGTCTGAGAGTCTGGGGACTGCGAGAAAAACACCAGCCTTTATGAAACTTGGTGCAGAGCTGGTTACACTGACAACACTCACATGTCCCTCCTCATTGAATGAACGAGATCATCATCATGAAAAGCAAATCAGAGTTAAACTCTCCGGTGCAGAACATCACCCCTGACCCGGGCCAGACGCGACTTGTTATTAATATCCTCCAGAAAAAAAAAAAAAAAAAAAAATCTGTAGAAGGGTTAGTGGACATGCAAAATGGAAGGGAGCTAGCAAAAAACGAGTGTACTCTTTTTCAAAAAACCCTCAAAAAAAAAAAAAAAAAAAAAAGACAAAAACAGATTGCAAAAGACTCATGCCCAGAAATGCATTTGTCCTTGAGACTTTAGTCACCAGTCGTTATTTTGGGTGGTAGGAGGGGTGCACACAGCAATAGCAGGAAGCCCCGTGGACACCATTCTCAGCCCGTGCAGGAACCGTCCCCTTCTGTGCACACAGGCACTTGCTCCACCAGCCACATGGATTTTGCCTCCAGCACACACAGCTCCAAGTGGGTGTCTGCCCGGCTCCTCTGCTAATTACAACCGCAGCCACCGGTTTCTGTATGAAATTTTATGACATCAGCAGCAGTCAGCACGGTAAATGCCGACCGCATTTCGTGCTGGTTGAGCCACAGGTCTGGGAGGTTGGAGGAGAAGGTTGCAATCCTCCCCGTAGCCGACCCCTCGGGTGGGACAGACAGCCTTCGCCACCAGGTGGGAGGTTCGTGATGAACAGCTCAAATATCCCAAATTTTGGGTGTGAGCAGAGTGAGCCACCCACACTCTGGGAACACCTCCAGTGAGGTTTCATCCTGTCGTCACCACATCCCCCTCTACTCAAGAGTGGCCACATGCAGGACGCAGGGACCCCGGGGGCCAGGTCAACCCCCTGCCAATGGGTGTTTGCCTGAAGCCAAACAGAAATCACCCAACGGCGTCCAGGAGAAGCTGGAAGGAGCTAATTTTCAGTGTCACTAGCGGTGCTGAGCACAAGGAAATAACCCTCATTGATGTGTGTCTTGGAGTTCAGCTCAAAGAGTCCAAGGTGTCTGTCGGTGCTATCCCCTCCTCCCTTGGAGAGCTACCAAAACATTTCCCTTTGGCAACAAGGTGGATCTCCATGTCTGTTTTGAGCAGCTCCCAAGGTTATCTTCTACGTCTCAGACTTTTTCTTGCCTTTATCCTCTAAATATGGAGCTGTAGCCTTTAGAGGTCAATGTACTTTGTGGGGTGATGAAGCGTGGGGCAGCTTTTCAACCAGGACAGGGCTGTGCAGACGGGCCATCTCTGGAGCTCCAGCTTTGCTCCAGAAGACAGACCAATGAGGTAGCCAGGACCAGATAGGTTTTTTAATTCCTCAGGCTTCATTTCCTGATCTTTGTCATTAAGAGGATGGAAATAGCTAGTCTCTGTCAACGGAACACTCAGGGACCTTACTCAGATGTATGTGAATACAGGAGGGTTGCAAGGCTTTCAGCAGTCCCCAAGACTGTCTTTTTACCTCTCCGGTGCCTTTTGGGGGTAATTCACACCCTTTAGGTCAAAGACGGGTGCTAGAAAACCCCTGCTGAAGACCTGAGGCCATCCTCTAGAGGAAGCCCAGGACCACTTTGTCCCCATGGCCACAGTAGCTCCCTCAGACCGAGCATCTCAGGGAGGAGAGCAACTTTCCACTCCTTTCTACCTGGATTATTTCTGGCTTTATCTCATGCCGACTCAATAGCAGGGATTAGACTCTGTGAGCAGAGCCTCATGGGACGGGGCTATAATTATGCCTGGATTTAATTTAACAAAACAAACCCCAAACAGACGAGCCTTTGGAAACACAGGCACCCACGGGTTTTCCTATGATGGGCAGGTGAGGCTGGCAATTAGATACTTATGTGGCACAGGAAACAGATAAAAAAGGAATGATACCCATCACAAATGAGTCAGGCGAGAGATGTAAACAGAGGGCGGTTTGATGGGGATTGGGTATTAAATTAATAGATCGTTATGACAGGGAGCTGTCTCATTTCCGGGCAAAGGGACCCGAGACCTCTATAAAACTGCTCCAGTCTTGGGGATCTTCATTCCCTCCTCTTGCTTTCCCCCCAAGCTCAGGTAAGTCTGGCAGCACGGGTGGATTTTCCTCCTTTGGGGGCTCGTTTCCCAGCAAGGGATGGGGAGCGCGGGTTTAATGCGAACGTCGCTGTTGGGGTGAGGGGATGTTCACAGGGTGATGGGGTGCATGGAGGGAGGCTGGTGATGAAATCCTCCATTGGTGGGATGGAGGGCACTGCTCCAGACCTGTGGGGGTCTCCTGGAATCCTGCACCACAGTGCTGGCGGTGGGACTGGGGCAGACCCCAAGATCGGGGCGGTGGGGCAATCCCAGGGGCGGTGGGAAGCGCAGCAGCCCCTGACAGCTCCTCTTTCCCCACAGGTCACCCCAAAACACAACGATGTGCTCCCGGCAGGACAAAGACCAGTGCCACAGGCAGGAGCGCTACACCCGCCAGGCCAGCGGTGGCTGCCACAGCTCCGGCGGTGGTGGCTGTCACAGCAGTGGTGGTGGTGGCTGTCACAGCTCCGGCGGCAGCGGTGGTGGCTGTCACAGCTCCGGTGGTGGTGGATGCCACAGCTCCGGCGGTGGTGGATGCCACAGCTCCGGCGGTGGTGGCTGCCATGGGAAGCCCCAGGTCCACTGCCAGCAGCAGCAGCAGCAGCAGGTCCACCAGCTGCCCTCGCAGAAGATGAAGTGATGGGGTGTCTCCAGCAGCAAAGGCCACGCACGGACCAGCTCCCTCTGGGCTCCCCAAAGCTTTGCAAGCCCCGGGGCTGCCCGGACGTGCACCTTCTCCTCAGCCCCCCAAGAAGCAACACTCCCTGGGGAAGGGGCATCACGTGTGCCTCCCTGCTGCCTCCGCCTGATGCTCCAGGCTGTGCTTTGGCCCCATGAGGTGCCCATGAGACAATAAAGCATGAACTTCCCCAGACCTGTCTTGTGTCGGTCTTTCCTTAAGCCCCTCATCCTCATTTGGTGGTGGAGTCTCCACCTCTGGAGACATTCAAAACCCTGCTGGATGCCATCCTGTGCAACCTGCTCTGGGTGACCCTGCTCTGGCAGAGGGGTTGGACTAGATGATCTCCAGAGGCCCCTTCCAACATGTATCATTCTGTGGCTCTGTGGTTCTGTGGTTTTCTGTCTGTGCTATAGGGGGGCAGCTGGATTAACCAACATGCTCGTGCCATTTGTGTAGATCTATTTTCTTTCTGAACCCTTGTGATGCTCCAGTGATCAGCCACAACCAGCGTGGATCATGCCTGGGTGCTCACCAGCTCTGTTCTCCTCCACCAGCTCTCCTCCACCAGCTGGGGCCAACAGGTCCCAGGTGATGGGAAAAACACAAAAACTTCTCCCCATCCCACAGCATGTCCTGTCTGGGCCCTACATCCAGGGTGTGGAGATGGTTCTAGATACCCAGGATGGCCCCCGGTGCCCCAAGACCCCCAGGACTTTGCATTCCTGCCCCATCCCCTTGGGGCTTCTCCACCATGACAGCTTTATTAACACAGCTTTGAGCAACCTTCTGCCCAGGGGGGCTACTGGTGGTCACCTGGTGGCTCACAAAAATCAGGCAGGCATCGTGTTGTACAGTTTTTATTGCTTTTTTTTTATGGTGTTACAACCATTTACATAAGAAAGAGAAAAATAAGCCCCCCAAAATTCCTTCTGGCTATTTACAATGCAGAAACATCACAGTTAAGGCAGCTGATGTATTAACCCATTCAGTCACGTGGCAGCCAAAGGACCGGACCTCCATCGCTTGAGAGGAACAAACTACTGCAGAAAACATCCATCTGTGTCACAAAGTGACCATAAAGCAAATCCTTGTCAGAAACGACACGTCTTCCCCTGACTTTCCAAAAAAACGTGCAGGTGAGGATATAACTATTACAAATCTGATAACTATCTGTAAGATTTCTTCCCAGTGAAACTCAGGGTTTCTACCATCCCCTCCTTGTCATTAAAACGGCCTTGTTTACTGCTTTCTATATCGGGGAGCAACGTTTTAACCAAACACAGCCAAGGAAAACAGTCCCTTTTCCTAGTCCTCTGGCCGTTCACTCTCAGTAGTGTTTCTTTGCAGGTTAATTACACGAAGACATGGGTAAAGGCTTTCCTAAAATAAAAAAATAATGAGGGCTAAGCCTCCCTTTTTCCCCCTTTTTTTTCAAATGGAAAATAGAGCCTGTATGCTGCCCCAGCATTTATTAGACTGAAATGTCCTCACGGATATTGAGGTGCATCTCTGCTGTGTTGTCCCCCCCCTGAAACCTGTAGGAATTTTGCCGTTCATTTCAAATGAGCCGGAGATTACCTCCCAACCGCAGGCTTTTAATTTTCCCTGAAGAATTGCTGCTCTTCATTCATCATTACTATACAGCCTGACTCAACTAATTGTATGGCTCATTCCAGCCCTATTGACTGGGGATTTTTCACTTTCTACTCATTAAAAAAAAAAGGAGCTCGTGGAAGAAGGGGTTGATGCATCAGCCGTTGCTCTGCCGCTGTGTTTAGGAGAAGAAAACAGCAAATCTGCCCCTGTCCTTAAGCTGCATTTGCAAAGCACCCCAAAGAGACGCCTGTGGAGCTTGGGGACAAAATAAGAGACCCGGGGTTATTTTTGCCTCACGGAGGTAATACGTGGAGCAGGGCACGGTCTTCACATCTCTCCCATCACCACCGGTGCGAGGGCAGGTGCTGCGGGCACCGGAGGGGCAGGGAAAGCCCAAAAGGTGATCATACCGTGCCCACAGGGTGCTGGCGTCTCTGTCCTTCACCCACGGGGCAATTCAGGGATCCTAGAGAAGAGGGAAGAAAACCCTGTAGGGGAATTCACCTACAGCCACCCCAAAGCCCTGCATCCCTCCCCGACAGCCCCCAATTCCCCACCGACCACCCTGCAACACCTCTGCTTCACACTAAGCTTGTGCCCGATAAACTTGTGCAAATTTATTGGAGTTATTAGAGCTGATTAAATAGCCTCTGGGTCCCCGTGGAGCTGTAGCTGGACTGGGCTTGCTGGGACAACCCCATCCCTGGATGTGTGGCTGCCCCATCCCTGGAGGAGTTCACGGCCATGTTGGACGGGACTTGGAGCAACCTGGGCTGGTGGGAGGTAGGAAGTGTCCCCCCGTGACAAGGGAGTTCAAACTAGATGATCTTTAAGGTGTCTTCTCACCCAAATCATTCTGTGATTCTATGATAAATCAGACCTGGGGAGCCATGCACCACCTCAGGTTGACACCGGTCCCAACGAAGGAATCTGTCCCCACCTAACGAGGCAATGCAAATGTTGTTCCAGAGCTTTGCCCACTTGTTGAACTCCCGAGCCCTCCCTTACCTCCTCGCCTCGGTGCCCCAGGAGCAGCTGCCCTTCAATACACGCAGTGTTTGACAGAGCCCCTCTCCTTCTTGTTCATGGGCTCGGTGTCCGAATCCGGCAGGTTGGAGATGTATCTGTATTTGCTGGTGGGTGACCTCTGAGAGAACAGGAGCCCATCAGACTTTCCCAAAGAGACAAGGAGGTCCAGCAAGGGCTGGGTGCCCATATTATTGCAAGAGCAATGCAACAAAAAAGCTGGTTGCAGCAGGGAGCAGAGGCTGTGCAGAGTCCAATGCTAAGGTTTTGTAGCATGGTGTTACACCTGGATTTGCCCAGGGGAGAAACTGAGGCACAGTGGGACCAAACACCCCTTCCTCACCCTCCACCTCCCCTTCCTGGCAGGAAAATGGGGTCAGTGGGACTGAGAGGGTCCCGTGATGCTCTACCCCAGGGAAAATGAAAGATTGGAGAGATCCAGTTCCATCCCTGGATGTGGGGTGGATGTTGCGGGACCCCCCATCACCCCTGACCACCCCCGTCCCGTGATGCTCTACCCCAGGGAAAATGAAAGATTGGAGAGATCTAGTTCCACCCCTGGATGTGGGGTGGATGTTGCAGGACCCCCCATCACCCCTGACCGCCCCCAAGTACCACCTTCCCCATCCCTCTTTGCACCCTTGACCCCGTACAGTTACCTTGACAGGAGCAAACTCCTGCTGGATGAGCTTCTTGAACTCACTTCTGCTGAAGGGCTCCGATTTCTTCCCCCTCCTGGCATTGCCCTGGTAACTCTCCATCATGTCTGTGATGGCTTTAATGAGCTTAGACATGTCTCCAGCCCTGGAAAGGAGCAGAACTTCAGGAGGCAGCGAGGTGGCAGGGGGCAGCGCTGCCCACAGGAAAACCCCCACATTCCCTTCCAATAATTCAAAAGATATTCAGTTCATTTTAAGTGTTTCTAATTTTTTTTTTACCAGAGATAAAAATAAACCAGTGGATGCTGCCCACCACCCTGGCTCCTCTCGGAACTTTCACCTTAATTCACTTCATTTCTCCACTTCCCCACTCCCTGCTTAAATTAAAAGGTCGGAGCTCCCTGTAGCCATCTCAGGCGCTTGTGGGGTTGAATGAATCACCTCTTGCAGCTAAAGAAAGTGCTGTGTCTACACACCCCCCTCTCTCGGGGCTGGGCGGAGGGAGCCCGGGCAGCTAATCCTGTGCTTGTGTCTTTTTAGTCCTTGCTTGCCCCGAGCCCCGCTGGGAAAGACCGGTTGCAAAAATGACCCCGAAAACATAAAAGCTCATTTCAAGTCCATAAATGAAAAAGAAACGGCGGAGACTCACCCTGCTCACCTGCATCAACCAGCCGACGGGCGCGGATGGGACTGGTGGGAGCAGCTCTCGGCAAACTCCTTGCCAAGCTGCCGGGGAGTGGGTGGAGGGTGAGGATTTCTTCCGGTCAGTCCTGTTCTGGGGCTGCCTCTCCGCATTGCTGCGCTTCCCAGGGAGCCTCCCTTATTATCCTTCCCCCGGCAAGGATGTTTACCAGCACACCTGGGAAAGACCTATGTAGGTCAGCCTGCAGCTCCGCTCTCCGCCGGCGTTCCTCCAGGATCCGAGCGGGGAACACCGGGGTTTAGCACTGGAGACATCTCCTTGGGTCAACAAAAAAGTTAATGAGAAGTTCTCTTCGTGTATGGAAGTTTGCACTTAGCTTCCCCTAAAAGGTTTTTTTTCTCTCTTTGTATACGAAACTTTCCACTTAGCTTCCCCTAAAAGGTTTTTTTTCTTTTTCTCTTTGTATACGAAACTTTGAATTTAGCTTTTCTCAAAAAGGTTTTCTTTCTCTTGGTACATGGAAGTTTGCATTCAGCTTCTCCCAAAAGGGTTTTTTCTCTTCATATATGGAAGTTTGCATTTATCTTGCCCCAAAAGGGTTTATTTTTTCTCTTCATACATGAAAGTTTGCATTTAGCTTCTCCCCATGGGTTTTTTTCTTTTTCTCCTTTACAACCATTTGTGAGTTCATGGGGGGTTGCAATAGAATCTTAGAAAATGTTGTTGAGGCTGTCCCACATGTCTCGTATGGGCTGCCACTGGCCACATTCACGTTTGCCCGGCTTGGACAATGGCAGCAGAGCTGTGGTTTCTTCTACGAGCACGGAGAAAGAGCCCTGAGCTGCTTTTCAAACAGGGCAGCGTGCTCCCAAGAGTGTGGGACGTGGGGACGCCTGGTGACGCCAGCCCCGGTTGGCCATGGCCAACGGGGCTATGAGCTCCCTCCGGTGGGAAAATCATTTACTACACATAGAATCATAGAATCATAGAATCATAGAATCATTGAGGTTGGAAGAGACCCTTGGGATCATCGA